TCACACGTTGTGATGTCATATTGTTAAAATGATTTAATAAATTGAATTTATAATATTTTACTTGTCTATAAACCATCATTGTAATTATTAAATACACATTAAATTAAAAGAAGATTTCTTAAGTCACTTTTTAGCTGACTAATAATTTATTAAATACATGTTACCAACCTTTAGTTATTTATCTTATCTCTTCCACCTGACTTGAAATACGTGTTGAGCGCATAAGAAAATATAATATATTTGAAATCCAAGTAAAATGGTGACAATATCTATTATATTGAATTAGTAATAATATATTTTAGTTAAATTTAATAAATATAATAAAGATAATATTTATAGAATATTGAAAATATTTAAAATATTTTTAAAGCATTAAAAAATTATAGAATTTCATTTATAATAATATCTTCTTCTATTATCAAAATAAGTCATTATTACTAATAGATTTTTTTTATCTACTTAGTATGAGAACAGTTCTAAAGTAATATAATATTGATATTTTTTAGCAATCTGATTGAGTATTCAGTATAGTATGCAATAAATATTATTATTATAATAATATTATTATTTAGTTAATTTTTGTATATTAATAATAAAAATAATCAAGTAATAGATATTTCTTTATTATATTGAATTTAATTAATTACAACTTGCTTTTTTATAACTACAAGACCAGCTATATTTATAATAAATATTTTTCACTAATTAATATTATATTTAGAGTTAATTATATAAAAACTATAAAAATAATATTTATAATATAATTTGAATAATTAATATATATAAAAATTATAAAGAATATAGAATTTATAAATTTATAAAAATAATAAAATTTATAAGAATTATAAAATTAATGGTAAAATTATAAAATTACTTAAATAATAATAATAAATTATATATAAAATCACATATAGAAATTACATATTCAAATTATATGTTATATATAAAAATTATATAATTTTAAATTTATCCAATAAAAATATAATTAAATTAAATAAATTTAATTTAATTATTAAAAATATTAAATATAATAAAAGTGATTAATTATCAATAAAATAAAATATTTAAATTGTAATAATAGTAAATATAAAACTAAAAGTACAGCTAAATTTGATATAAATTATAGAATAATAACAATAAATTTATTTTACTAGCTGAATTTATATAAAGTATATACTGCTCTTAATTATTTGAAACATGTTTTTACAGACAAAAATTTTCTAAATATATCTTGTAAAATATAATATACTGATTAAATTAGATATAAATACTTTATAATACTTTCTTAAAAAAGAAAAATATGATATTATTATTATTTCTATAGCTGATTATCAGATAGTTTAATCACAAAATCTAATATCTAAAATTATAATAATAATTACCAAATAAAAAAATAATAAAAAAACAAACAAGTAAAAGAAAATTTAATTAAAATAACTTAAAAAAATAATCAAAAATGCTTGCATTTTTTTGAAAATAAAAAAAAAAGTTGATGAAAAAAAGAGAAAAAATGAAGAAGTGAAGGAAAAGATTAATAATAAAGAGATTAAAACTATTAAGAAGAAGATTATAGCTGCAGTTAATAAAAAAAGCAAAATTAAAGATATATGAAATAAAAACAAAAATAAATAATATGAAAAAAAAGATAATATTAATTTGAAAATGTTGTTTAACTTCAATTTGAAAATAATATCATAAATAAATAAAATTTTACATTTTTTAAAAAATTATTCAAAAAATAAATAATTAATTTAATATATAATATATTTAAAGTCAAATAGATCTGTTTTAATTTTATAAAAGTATTACAGTTTTATTTTAAATTCAGTAAAATTTATTTTAACTGATTTATTTTTTGATACTCATTTAAAATTTTAACTTTTGCAAATTCTTCAAAAATTAGGCTAGTTTTTTGAACTTTTTGAACTTATCAAAAGTCTGATTTGAGTTTAGTTTAAATATCAAATCTTATTCAAACTCAAGCCAAAATCTGATTTGAATTTAGTTTAATGATTAAACTCTTTTCAAACTTATTAAAAAGTTTGATTCAGATTTAATTTAAACATCAAATTTTTTTCAAATGCAAGCCAGAGTTTAGTTTGAATTTTGAATCAGACTCAAATCTAAATAAAAATTCAATTTAGTTCAATTCATAGAAATATTATAATAAACAAAGATTTTACAGTTTTTTATATGAACAAGAATATTTAATTATTTTTTCTTAAACTTTGTTAGGCTTATATATTATTAAATTATATCAAATATAATCATATTAATTATAATATTTTGAATTTTGTATTTACTTATATTACTAAACAAATAATACTAATCAATTAGTAATTAAAGAAGATAATTTTGAAGATATTAATTTTTTCTTATCCAAATAGAATATTAAAATTAAAATAATAACAAATTTTTTTGTTGTTGATCAGAAAGAAATTAATATAATACTACAATTTATTCTTTTTATAAATATCAAACTGGCTGCTCTCAAAATTTATCACAAAAAATAGTTATAATTATTACAAAATAAAAAGAAAAAATTATAAATTCAGTTCATGTTAAATATTGACAAAATCAAATTGATAATAATTCTTATATTATAATTGCTTTAAAAATTTTAATAAAAAAAGATAAAAATAAAAATAAGAAATTAAAAAAAATGAAACTAGTAAATTTATACAATTAAAATTTAATTAATGAAAATAGATTTAATTTATATTATTTATATTTTGTAAAATTTTTTATTTAAATTATCAATATTAATTTTATTATAATAAAATTTTAAATTTAATATATAATATAATATATTTTTATTTTTATATTTGATGTAATTTTGAATTTTAATATAATTTTGAATTTGACATGATTTTGAATTTTAGCATGACTTTGAATTTCAGCATGATTTTGAATTTTGACATGATTTTGAATTTTGATATTTTGAAAATTAAATTTTATTTGTCAAAATAATATTTAATAATTTTAGCTTAACAAATTGTTAAAACTCCTAAATTTTGGTAAGTATTTTTAATTATAATATAAATATATATTACCTATATTTAGTTATAATTTTTAGTATCTCATACTATAAAAACTTAGTCTCTTTTATCTTTTTATTAATAAAAATATGTAAATAATATATAAATAACTTGAAATCTATAATAATAATAATAATATTAAAAAATATTATATAAATAATATATTATTTTTAAAAAAGCAAAATTTGATAATTATAGAGAAAATATAATTATAAAGAGATATTTTACTATATTTATATATAAATAAAAAAGCAAAATAGAATAATTATAAAGAGGTATAATTATATATAAATTAATATAATTATAAAAAGATTTGATTGTACTTATAATAAAATATATTTTTAAATATATTATTACTATATTGATTAAGTTATCAAGTTATTATTATTAAAATAATATATAATGACTAACAAAATTATAAAATTACATGTATGATTTTATTAATAAATATAATAAAAATTAAAATTTTTGTCTTATATAAGAGGAGTAATATATATCACATAATATTGAATTATTATAAAGATAATTTTAAATGAGATTTTTATTATATTTAATTGATTAATTATTTTTGATTATGTGAAAGATGAAAATTTTGAGATTCTCTTTCTCTCCCTCTCTGATAATTATATAATATATATCACTTCCCTAAAAGCTTTTAATTTTATTAATAAATACTTTTTATTTTTATATCAAAACAAGATCAGAAATTATATTTTACATATATTTTTCCAGATTTTATCTAACAAAGTTGTTTTAATTGCAAAGTTATTGTTTATAATTAAAACATAAAATTAATTAAAAAAATTTTGCAATAACTTTGCAATTAGAACAACTTTGTCAGATAAAATCCAAAAAATCCAGAAATAAAAAATATTTATTAATAAAATTGAAAACTTTTATATGAGACAAAAATTTCAGTTTTAATAAAATCGCACGCGTGATTCCATGATTTTGTTAGCCACTGTAAGTAATATATTCTTTGTTTTTGAAATTATATTATAGCAAAATAACTTGTGAATAACTACATTTTAATCCAATAATACATTTATTATTGTGTAATTTAAATTACGCTTTTTGGAAAGCTTTAAAATTCATCAGTACACGAGTGTATATCTAATACTAATACTGATACTATAATAATGGCGGATAAAAAATAGAAATGAATGGCACCATCAATTAATTCAACACATTGTCTCTTTCAATTGACCAATTAATTCAAAAAATCTGATAAATCTGGAAAGTGAAAAGTAGATTTGTCGATGATGGAAGCTATTGTTCAACTTTCTTCATCAAAGTTAAATGTATAATAAATATCGATATAAATTGGAAAAAAATATTAATAAAGAATATTAATTTTTATTATTAATATATAATAATAGTGTAGTCTATTTATATATATCACCTTTAGCTTACTTACACTCACGTTACCTAAGACACTACAACACAAGATCGATCCAAACCAGAATAAAAAAATAAGCATGTCGGATAAACGAAGGCAAGTAGCCATTGTGAAAGCAAAGCAACAAGTTGCTCAGAAAAAAAGACGACGAAGAACTGAGGATAGTGTAAAGTCTCAAACTACAACCACATCAACAATTCGATCCCTCAACTCCCCGAAATTATCTTCTTCCACTACTACTACTACTACTACTTCACTTTCTACTACTACTTCTAATATTAATAATAAAGTGTAGGCTTATAAAGATTTACGTTAGAAAGTTTTGTATTTCTCGCACTTTGACTAATGCTACTTTTACAGTTACCCATCTTCATCGTACTCTTCCCACTCACGGCAACTTACGAGCGATAACTTTGAATCGCCTTCCGATCGATCTTCGCCTAACGAGGAGGAAGAAGGCGAAGGGGAGCAAGACCCCACTCAAAAACATTTAACTGAAGATGAAGAAGATGTGGTGGATTATTGTAAAGGTGGCTATCATCCTATTAAGATTGGAGATCAATTTCAAAATGGAAGATATATAGTTGTGCGAAAATTGGGTTGGGGTCATTTCTCTACGGTATGGCTTGCCAAAGATATAACGTGAGTTGATGATATGAATTATTGTTTTTTTAATAATTAATAATTCCCTATTCTAATATATATTCATCTATATTCTCGATAACGTTAAAAAAATAAAAGTATCGATCGTCACGTTGCGTTAAAAGTTGTAAAATCAGCACAACATTATACAGAAACAGCATTGGATGAAATTAAATTACTTAAAAAAATTGTAAATACTAATCCTGAGGCTCCTGGTCGTCGTCATGTGGTCGAACTTTTGGAAGATTTTCGAATTGAAGGACCAAACGGTCAACATGTTTGCATGGTGTTTGAAGTTCTCGGCGAAAATCTATTAAGCTTAATTAAGCGTTACAATCATCGCGGAATTCCGGCACCATTAGTCAAACAGATTACTAAACAAGTGCTTATGGGCCTGGATTATATGCATCGAGAATGTGGTGTAATTCATACAGATTTAAAGCCGGAAAATGTGTTGGTTTGCATTGAAGATGTTGAGGAAGTGATTAGACATGAACTTTCGACTGCAAATCCACCAAAAACAACAACTCATAAGAAATCATCAAGTGATGTTATTACGCGTATAACCAACAGTCAACCTTTATCATCACCTACGTCTGCTTCTCCAAGATCATCAAAATCTTCCTCCATATCTCTTTCACACCCTTCGCTTCCACCAACTTCTACATCAACTAAAGGAATGTCAAAAAGTCAGAAAAAGAAATTAAAAAAGAAGAGAAAAGCTGAAAAGGAGCAAAATTTATTAAATGGCGCTACAAAAAATGCTGCAGTTGATAATTCTCATGTCGTCGATAAAGAGGAAGATGAAGATGAGGATGAAATGGAAGAAATAAATAACGAAGATGGAATATGTTTATTTAATGAAGAAGTTGAAATTGAACCTCATGATGCATTTGGAAGTCCCATGGAAACAATGTCGTACGTTCAATCATAATTATTTTTTTTTCATTTGAACACTTTTTGTCGAATGATTTTCATGATATATTTATTAAAAAAAAATACAGAGATAATTTGGAACGTAATCTTAACGATATTTCCCTCGTGGATAAATCAAAAATCATCAATCCAAACCCGTCATCATTGCATTCACGAAGAGTTTCATCCGCGTCGAGACACACTGCCGAGACTCCACGGATTACTGTGAAAATTGCTGATTTGGGTAACGCTTGTTGGGTGGATCATCATTTTACAAATGATATTCAAACAAGACAATACAGAAGTCCCGAAGTTATTCTGGGCAGTCGTTGGGGTACAAGTGCTGATATCTGGAGTATGGCTTGTATGGTAAAATCGAATAGATAATTTTTCTTTATCATGAAAATTTAAATTTGACCGTTAACTAATTAACAAATACTCGAAATGTAAGGTATTTGAATTATTCACTGGAGACTACTTATTTGATCCACAAGCCGGTAGTCGATACAACAAAGACGATGGTAAGAAGCGGTTTATATTTTGTTTGTCGAATTACTGTTTTTTTTTAATCTTATATTTATAAATATTTTGTAGATCACATCGCACAAATAGTCGAACTACTGGGTCTATTTCCAAAACATTTGGCTTTGGGTGGCAAATATTCTAATGAAATATTTAATCGAAAAGGTAAAATAGAAGCGATTTTTTTATTACAAATTTAACTCATATTTCAGAAATAAAATCTTAATTATTTTTGTTAAAGGTGAGCTTCGTCATATTCACAAGCTTCGCTACTGGAAACTCCCGGAGGTTCTCTGTGAAAAATATCTTCTTCCTCGAAATGAGGCCGAACTTTTCGCCAGTTTCTTAATTCCAATGTTAGATTTGAATCCTGAAAAACGTGCCTCAGCGAAACAGTCATTAACTCAGCCTTGGCTCGAGGAAGGTTGCTATGAGTCATCCGGCAAAACTATGACGGCGACGACATCACCATCATCATCAGCTTCACATGTAGTTGTACCGTCATCGTCTCGAGCTTCTGCTCCTAATCCAACCAATGGAACAAGGAATAAAAGCAGCACAGTAAAAAGTAATAAGAGTTTAAGTACGAAGAGTAAATAATCTTATTCATATATACAATGTGTTTGTATATGCCCTGCGTACATATATAAACATATGGATATATGAATACTATTATAAATATCGTTAAATGCAGTATCGTACTTCAACAACGTATATTTCGCTGGTACAGTTTGAGAGTTTTGTTGTGTATAGTATTTTTCTTTTGTAAAATATATTACACGAAAAGAACGAAAAGTCACAAAAGCAGTAATAATCTATAGCAGTGAATGTGGTGATGGTATGGCAAAAATATCAATATAGAGTGCGTCAGCTTGAAAAATATATAATACAAGCAAAGAATATAGGAATGATGTATATTTGGAAAAAGAATCAAAGAATAAGATTTAATCAAACAATCAATATTAGCATTAGTTTTTTTATTTGAGGGAATTGGGATTATCATGGTATGTGATTTTAGGGAAATAGCATATTATTGATGGTAGTGTATACAAAGTATTCTGTAGTTTAATAATAATGTAGAAAATTTTATTTGTCATTATTTTTCGACACGTGCGTGTGAAGAACATATCAAAACATTCTTTAACGACAAACATTACAGTCTTTGAACCAAATAGCCACAAATCTATATCGATATAAAATTATGAATTCATAGCTGCATCATCAACAACGATATCACATGATAATACTAAAATGGTACAAATGCATCAAAAAAGTTTTTCGCTTTTCAGTCATAATAATTATGGCGGCTACAAAACCTAAAAAAACTGGTCTAATTGTCGGTCTTAATAAAGGCCATCAAGTTACGTCGCGTCCCTTACGTGCTAAACCCTCCCGAAGAAAAGGAGTAAGTAGGAGTGAGTTTTGCTTTAAAATTGATTGTCGGAGTTGATTTATTTTTATAGGCGTAAGGTTACTATGTATATTTTACTATTCTTTGATTTTAATGGGAAAATTCTTATTCAATCAAAAGAAACTCTCAACGCGTGTAAAATTTGTGCGTGATGTGATCCGCGAGGTAGTAGGATTCGCACCATACGAGCGTCGTGTTATGGAATTGTTGAAGAACTCGAAGGATAAGCGTGCAAGAAAATTGGCAAAGAAAAGAGTAACGTGTTTTTTTATTTATAGTAGTATTTTATGGATTATGGATTTATCGTTTTATTCTTAATATTTTTTTTCTCTGATTTATTAGCTTGGTACTTATGTACGCGCAAAGAGAAAGGTCGAAGAGCTTAGTAATATCATTGCTGAATCTCGTCGTAAAGAAAAATAGAGAGGGAATAAAGAGTTAGAGATATTTGCGATGTTTTGTCAATTTTATCGTTAATATTATTATTATTAGTAGTGTGTATTGAATAATATTATGTATTGATTTATTTGTTTAATTTGAAAATAGTTTATTCGTTCGCATGCTTTAATGTTTGTCTTTAAATCTACCTAATTATTATATAATTACACCAAAAAATATTGCGAACATTCAAATCTAATTTTCGTAAAGAATGTTAAACATAAAAAAGAATGGATTAATTACATATAAATAAATTCTAATTATTGATAAAATTAATGTTCAATTTCAGGTTCAAGTAACCATCGCTGATTGTCATTATGTTTCCTCTTTCTACGATGGATTATTATGCTTGGACCTTTCATGGAAGCTCTTCGAATATCTAATACAGATTTCTTTTGATTTGCGATAAATCCTCCTTTTAGTAGAACCCATAATTGTGTACTGGCATCGTTTATCAGTTTACGTGCATTTTGACAGGCATGTACTCGATGAAATGTGCGTATATATCCTGCATTACAAAACGAGGATAAATGATAAACGAATAATTCAAGGAAAGAATTGGTTGAATATAATATACGAACCTTCTTCATAATCAAGTGCTAACTTTGATGCCTTGTTGATAAGAAATCCTTCATCCCAATGCCAAAGCTATCGTCCAGTCAATTCAATAAAATCACGTCAGAAAAGTAATAGAATAATTATCAACTTGTTGAAATATTTACCTGACTATCCGCATCAATCCCAAACCGTTGTTTATGAACCACAAGCCTTACTCCCGTATTGACAGATAAACTGTGAGGTTCAATGACATCAGGACAACTAACTGACTTTATGTAAAACCAGCCTTTATTTATTATATAGGACTTTAGTCTAGTGTACACGTATTCTCTCATTAACCATGCAAAAAAAATTAAAAAATCGATTATTCAACCTTTAGGAAATTCCTCCTCTTCCCCTTCCTTTTCCTTTTCTTGCTCTTTGTCCGGGTTAAATTCTACTTTTTGATCAATAGACATTTGCTCTCAACGATTATGGATCACAAAAAATTACATTTTTTGTATCCTATCAAAATACTATTTTTGAAGTCTTACAAAATTGATTATACCCCAATTAAACTTGGAATATCTTCTCGAATTGATATGAAAAAACACCATATATTTCGTGATTTGTAAAAGAATCTCACTAATAATCTCCTAAAATCAAATCTTATTGGACACTTGAATCTTTTATTTGGATTGGCCAATAAAATAAAAAATACTACAACCTTTTCTGTCTTCTTTTTTTCGGGTGAAAAAGTTTGAAAGATTTTAATTAAACATGGTAATAAATATGTTCTTTATTTTTGTAATTTATGCTCACATTTTCAAAACAGCGTATTCAAGAGTATCGAAGAAATTTAGACCAAAGAGAACGAAAAAGGAACCAGACAAATAATAATCCCATCTTTAGCAAGAATTAATATTTGATTTTATTTTCTCATAATATAACGAAAAGCCTCGACAAATTCTCGATATCAAAAATTTCCTCGCAATTGCTCAACGAAAAGACGCAAAATGTATGTACATAAGTGTATTCCCTTAATTATCCACTTGTAAAATGAATTAATATGATTGATCACTTAATTTGACATGTTTAGCCGCTCGTATCAAGAAAAAGAAGAAAAGTTCGAGCGTGAAATTTAAGCTTCGTTGCTCTCGCTATTTATACACATTAGTAGTCGAGGATGCGGAAAAGGCAGAGAAACTTCGTAAATCACTTCCGCCTGGTAATTAACTTTTCTAATATATTATATATCAGGAAAATTTTTAATCAAAATTTTTAATTGGTTAAACTGTTTAGGTCTCGCCGTTACAGATGTCTAGACAAAGAGAGAAGATTCACGACATTTCGCTTTATTAATTATAATAAAAAGATCATTCAATATTTAAAGCTCAAATATTTTATTGTATTGTTGTTGGATTTTATTAACACTTTTCAATCGATCAAAAAACAGTACATTTCTTGAAATCAATGTTTTTTTGGCGTTTAGAATATACAAATTAATGAATATGTGACTACAATAACTATAAAAATAATAAATTCCATTAATACTATAAACTAAAAATAAATAAACGGACCGGAAGCCTAATAGAAAATAAGAAATTAATATCCAACAACCTGATCAGGGATCAAAAAAAGCGGTTTGACTTGGAAAAGGAATAAAGGATAAAGGGTATGGAATAAAGAATTCAGTATAGTGCGCAATGTATATAGAGGAAGAGAAGGGTAAATATAAAAAGAAAATCAAAAATCAAGCTTTCATTATACTTGAGAAGGTTCTCATTAAATCTCGTTTCTTGATCTTATGCATAATCATCATCAATAAAAAAAGACCTATGAAATAAGATCAGCGGGTGTTGTACTTGTTTTATGAATAAGATAAAACATTGTCATTACAGTAACCGTCAATGTTGGTATCACTGCGATATACGAATAGATTAACAAAGCGGCCATCTCTTCCTGAAAAGCCCCCGTCAACTGAGTGACATTAATACAATTAATGGCAGAAGGACCCGAAGCCAACATCATCAACACAAACCAAAACATTGGATCGTCCAGAAACCAGCCACGAGTCATCATTACTAACGAGATTCCTATAAACGGCATAATCATGAATCGGGCAATCATCACCCAAGAAATAGCCGAAAACATTTTTCCGCTTTTTGATCTTGACAAATTACTCAATTGTGCTCCGAGAACAAGTAATGTTAAGGGTGTTGACGCGTTTCCCAGAAATATCATTGATTTGGTGATTATTGGATATAGTGGTGCATTTTTACCAAAGAATAGTGACTTGAGAAATGGGTTTGTGCCGACAATCAATGCTGCTATAGCTGCGTAGATCGGTGGATTCATTATTGTCTCGACGTTTGAGATCACGTCTCGTACTCTACGGGAAGCAGTTGAAAAGTTTTTTGCGTGTGAAGAGGAAGCAGGGTTAAGGAGAGGTGTGGATTCGCTAATTGACCCTTCATTTACTATTTTTCGTGATATATGTGCTGTTCTTGCTGATTCTTCATCAACCTGAAGAGCTCTAGCAAGATCATTATTTTCATCATCCTCGTTTTGTGGTTCTTTTCGTAATAAATATGTGCCAAGACTCCATCTAATATTAATATTATATGATTAATACGAATGCTAAATAATAGATAACGTATATCTCGTATGTATGCATCACACTATCCAACTAACCTCAACAAATTGCCAATTAATGTCGCCAACAGAGTATAAGAAACACCTCTAGTTCTTGCTTTCTCGGGAGTATCTTGCTCGTTCCAAAGCAAAAGTTGCATTGCTTCGGTAGTCCCGAGATTCTGTATTAATCCCATCGATAAATGCGTCAGATTATTAAAGATGATACTAGCAGTAACAAATTTAGTTTCCGTTGAGTTAAAGCTGAATAGCTTTCCACCTAGTAAACCAAGAGAACCACTAATCGTCGCAAAAAGATAGAGGAAAACAGGTATTGGCCATAGATGAATAATTGCTACAGCGTCGATTCCTGATCCGACTTGTGAGAATAAAAGTGATGGCATTAAAATGGTTATTATTAGCTCTGAGAGACCCTGTTTTTGGGAGAGGGTGAAAGATTTAGTTTATGTGAAAATTCAACTGTGGAATAATAATAAGAATTACCTTTTGCACTGTTGTTGTTATTATTCCTATCCTTGCACACCAATATCCAATTAGACATAAAAGCAGTATAAGCATACTTGACTATACGATAAAAAAATATATTATTTATAAATGGAGCTTGAATCAACATGTTTTCAAATTGCATTTTCTACCTGTCCAATGATAAATAGCACTTCTGTGAATTCTATTTTTTCATTCATATTTGAATAATTATTAAATGAAGTACGCAAAGGAATTGTTCAATAAATAATGAGAAACAAAAGCACAAAGAATATATAACCACGAATTAATTAATCGAGCTGAAACTAAAACTATTTCAAGAATTAAACTCTTCTTCGTATTAGGATAAAAAACGCAAAGGTCACCGTTTTTTAGAAGAGAGAGTAAACGCACAAAAGCCACATAATTAAAGTGAGAGAGATGAGACGTTAATTTTGATTATTATTTTTCGAAATGACGATAGCATGTTTGATCCTCTTCTTATATTCATTCTAAGGGATGTTGCAAAAAAAGTTAAGGAGTCAGTGAGACGGCGAATTATTACTCGATATATTTGTACTAGCGAAATACTAAATTAAATTGTGGATCGTTATAACGATAACGATAAAACAGATACTTTAAGACTAAAATGAGCAGACCAACTTTTGATCGCTATATTAATATGCACCCCACAGATATGTTTTCATTTAAAGTGCGATTCACGCGACCCCCTTCCATGAAGTAAACAATACATATTAGTTTATTGATCTTTCTTATCCGATTTTTAATATCATATGCCAGTGTTTCTTTTGGTAATCGATTTCTAAAAATAATAAAAACATCGCCACTACTACCAACACACACAGAATATTTCGTTCGTATGATCAAAAGAAAGCAGCAGGGGCATCAATAATCAATTTTTTTTCACTTTCTTGATGGCCAGAGATGGAATCGGATCATTTCATCAAAAAATTGCTTAATTTTAAAAGAATAGAATTATGTAACGAAAACGGATATTGAAAAAAGTTTCCAAGTTAGATTTTTTCAAAATAAGTCTAGTATTACTATTTCAATTTTGAGCATTTTTTTAATATAAAATTATGTAATTTTTCTGCGAGAACAATATTTTTTATCAATTTTTGAAATTACAGTGGCAAAAAAAATTTATTAAAATTACGAAAAATATGGGTTTTTCTCTATATAAAAATTTTTATTTTTATTGATAAATATTTTTTTATTTTTACATCAAAATGAAAATGATATTACATATTTTAACATATATTTTTTTTCAGATTTTTTATAAAAAAATCATTGATTTTATATGCAATTAGAGAATGTCATAAAAATTAAATCAGAAAAAAATATATTAAAATATGTGAGATTAAAAACTTTTATATAATATTACCAGTCTGTGATCTTTATGAATGGAGATATTTACAAAATGAATGATAATGATTGTGTTCATGCAAAAGTAAAATATATATCTCTTTTAAAGTATGAGTTTCAATATCAAGTAATAAAATTTGTATAAGTGTTTTTATAAGAGGGATTTTAATCAAGTATGAATAATAATCCAACATGTAATGAATTATTTTAATAACAAAAAAGACAAAAGAAATCAATAAGAGCAAAATAATTAATAGTTTGATTTATTCTTCATTATTTTTAAGACCAAAAATAAATTACAAGATGTCTGATTTTCTATATTAAATTACATTTATTTAAATACATGTTAAAATAATATGGATCTACAAAATTTGTAATGATATAAAGAATCAATAAAATAATAAAGTTATAATATACATAATGCCAAAAATGATAAATATAATACAAAATTAATCTAAATATTATAAATAAAATTAACAAAATATTGACATTATATTAAATAAATTAAATAAATTAATAATCAAAAATAAATTAATATCAAAATTAAATAAATTAATAATTGGAAATCAAGAGCCAATAAAATTATAACGATCAGCAAATTTGTTCCTTAATTTACGAGCAAGTGTATCAATTAAGGGATCTGCACCTGTTTATGCATTCAATTTTCTATAGTTTACTATAGCAAATCGTTGCGAAAGCCAACTTCACTTCTATGCCAGCACCCTTGTGATACAA